AAGAGGTTTGAAGGAGTGAATCATGAAAATATTTGGAGAAAACAGTTTTCGAGCCAGGAAAAGCTACTATTAGAGCTCAGAGCAGGGAACTTGCTTAGAGTATGTGATGTAGTGCGAACAGGCCCGTGTTGCTGGAGCCAACTGGGGAGCTGAACGTAGCCAAGACCCAACACTAAGGACCTCGTGGGCCCTTGTAAGGGCTCTTGAGCTTCATGGGAAACTGTTGGAGGGTGTACCAAAATCTGTCTTGGAGTTTCGAAAGATCTCTCTGGCTGCTGAGAGAACAGCCGATTGCAGAGCTGGGGGAAAAGCTGGAAGGCCAGGTAGGAGACTGGCCATGGTTAAGGGATAAATCATGGAGACCTGGAGCAAGAAGGTGTTAGTGCTGTGAGGCAGGTAGTCAGGAGTAGACATATTTTGAAGGTAGTGTTGGATTGGATGTGGCAAATCAAGGCGGGTATTATGATGACAAGGGTTTTCTCCTGAGAGGATGGGGTTGCCATTTATGAGGAAGAGTTCTGAGACTCGGTAGTCAGGAGTTGGGTTTTGGAATGGCTGAGCCTGAGAAATCTATTTGATGGTGGTTGAGTGTGTAATTGGTCATATGAAGTTTGGAATTGCGGGAAACAGTCTGGGTGATGATAAATACTTGATAATCACCACCGTGTAGATCCAGATATAGCCTTGAGATCGGATGCGATCACCTAGGAGAAGAGTTCCAACACTGAGTCCTGGGACAGTTCAAAGTGCTGAGCTCTTGGAAATGAGGAGGAGCTGGGAAAGGAAGCGGAGTAAAACAGCCAGGAAGGTGAGGAGAGAAATTCAAAGAGGCCATGCACTCATAGTCAAGAGGAGAATGTCCAGCAGAGAAGGAATGGGTCAGCCGGGCCTAAACACTGACCCAGTAAGGGTGTGAGGATTGAGATGCCCCCATTGGAATCAGCAGCAAGGAGCTCTGTGGGGATCTGAGCAAGAATGCAGGGCGGAGAAAGCCCTGATGGAGTGAGTAGGTTCAGTAGAGAAAGGCAGTAGGGACAGGAGGACAGTATGGTTAACTTTTTCAAAATTTGCTCTCTACACTGGAGCGTAGACATGGTGCAAGAACTACAGAAAGGAGGAAGGCCCAGGGTTGGGTTTTGCTCGTTAAGAGTGGACAGGTACTGTGGCATCAGGAATCAAGCTGCTGTCGGCAGTGGTTCCAGTCCTGGCTGCTCCAGTTCTGATCCAGCTTCCTACTAGTTAGTGGCCTGGGAAGAGGAGATGATAGCCTGAATGTTGGGACCCCTGTACTCATGTGGGAGACCCAGATGAAACTCTTAGCTTGGGCTTGGCTTAGTCTTGGTTCTTGTGGGCTTCTGGGGAGTGAACTAATGAATGGGAGACTCTCTCCTCCCCACCCCCGTTTCCTCCCTCTTCCCCTCTACCCTTGTCTCCCTGTAACTCTGCCTTTCAGATAAATAAATCTAGAAAAACGTATGGAAGGATGAGTCTAGCATGGTGGTGCACAGACTGATCTCTGCCCTGTGGCACTGACATCCCACGTGGGCCCCAATTTGTGTCCGAGCTGCCCCGTTTCTGATCCAGCTCCCTGATTATGGCCTGGAAAAGCAGTGGAGGATGATCCAAGTACTTGGAACGTTACATCCACGTAGGAGAACCAGAAGAAGTTCCTGGCTCTTTGCTTCAGATCCGCTCAGCCATTGTGGCTATTTGAGTAGTGAACCAGCGGGTAGAAGTTCTCTTTGTCTCTCCTTCTTGCTCTGTAAAATCTAGCTGTCAAGTAAAAGTAAATAAATCTTATGAAAAATGTGGAAGGAACAAAATGATCCAGTAATGATGAGGAGGACATTGATGTAAGAGTGAGGGAGAAAGAAGTGCTGGCTCTGAGAGGGGGAGAGGGATGCCCCAGTAGGGATAAATCTCCTTATCGGAAAGTTAGGAAGTGCAGATGGAAACCAGTGAAACTTATCATATATAAAACTTGGTTATTGGACAGCTGTTGGCTTGGTGTAGTAAGGAAGAGAAGAAATAGAATCTTTTGGGTAAGGTGACAGTTTGAAGTGGCAATTATCTGTGCTATTCTAGTCCCTTATCAAAATTTATGATTGAGCACAGGCTATAAACGTGATCATTTGAAATTTGTCGTACGGTGAATTAAATTTTGGCCTAATTTAAAACATGGTCTTATATTAAACTTTTTCTCTGCAAAACTTTATTGTTTTAATATGGATTCTTCCCATGCAACAGCTCTAAGATATTTTACAAAAGGAGCTTAATTGGTTATTGACCATCTTTTATTTACTTATACTGTTTTAAATTTTACAACTATATTAGAAATTGGAATGGTTTAATTCATCACCAGTTCTGGTTAAAACAACTACCTGTGAAGTGCTGGAGAGGTAAATAATTGTAGTTTGGAAAAAGATTGTGTGACATTATGTCAGCAAGATAATACTCATTAATGGCAAAACCATTTTACTTTATTGTAACTTACGTGTTTTGAAAGTATTTTTCAGTAACAAACCTGTCGTTAAATTTCTGAACTTAGTTACAAATGTGAAATGTGTATGGAAAACAAATTAAATGGGCTTTCAATCAGCTTGACATGCGGAAATCACACTTGCATTTTAGAATTACCCAGTTTTTAACTTTTGGGTAGTATAAAATGAATATAAATCTTTTTATATCTTTCTGCTGCCCAGCCTCATTGAGTTGTAGAAGTAACAAAGCATTCACTTTTCTTATGAATTATTAGTAATCCCTTCAGGAGACGTGCAGTGCAAGTTCTAACACATATCACTGGTCTAAACATGACATCATCTTTTTGGGGGTCAGCCCCAGTGAGAACCATGCCTGGACTTACGTACAGTCTGGGATGTGGTGTTGGGGTTGAGCCCACCCTTGTGACTCACGCTTGTGAAGCCCACTCATGGGGTCTCCTGGGCAGAAAGGGTTTTATTTTTCAAACCTGCCCTACCCAGCTTACTTAAACAAGTCTTTGTTTTAAACTTGATCTGCAGAATTTTTTCAAACATGTCTCTCCAGGGTTTGTGTAGTTTGTTTGGAAGAGCACCTGCTGAAACTGGGTAAGACACAGTGCAATCTGGAGGGGAAGTGAGCCCAGCCAGAGAAATCTCAGCCCTCTCACTGCTCTGCCAACTAGTTGGGTGACCAGGGAAGTGCTTCAACCTCTTGGGATTTGATTTCCCATGGCATTTCTGCAGTCCTTAGGGCAGTTTCAGGAGCAGTTCCAAGAGCTCATGTTTTGAGGCTGTGGTAAAATCCTGTCAGCGTAGGATTGGCTCTGCTGCTGGGTTTTGGAGGAGATGCCTTGGGAGAAGGATGCAGATCTGATGTTGCCTTTCCTGATGAATAGGACTGTGAGTTCATGTGACTCTTCTTTTTCACATGCCAGAAAAGTACAAGTTAAAACCCCCGTTCCATTCTGATTAGTTTGTTTCAATATATTTTATAAGTTTTGGGTGTAAGCATTTGTTGATGAATATACGCATAGATATCTTTGTATACAAATAAAATTGCCATCTTTGATTCTGTGGATTGCTTTTCCACTCTCATTAGTGTTTGCTTTGTTTTTTATTTATCTGTTTTGTTTAGGAGGAAAAGAAGTTCCTCACTTCAGTCTAATTGATTAGTTTTACTTTTTACTGTATTTTAAATGAGCAATATTTTATTTCCTACTCAATAGTTTGGACAGAAAAAAATTTTTTTAGAATTTCCTTGTTTTAACAAGTAATGTGGGAGATCAATACATAGGAAATTATCCCCAGATAACAAAAAAGGATGAAAAGGGAGAATAAACTGTAACAGATAGTTTACATGTCCATGCAGTCAGTGCATTGACTCAGCCAGCATTTTGAGTATTTACCATGTGCCCAGTCCTATTTTAGGGGTCTTTCAAATATCTGTATTTTTAAAAATCCACTTTTACATAACTGCGTCATTCTACACATTCTCTCATGATTTTTCTTCTGATTTGAGGTCATTCTAATCTACGTGCTGACCACTGACATTTGGGTGGGCTGGAAAACTTTAAAAAGGACTACTGCTAAAGAGGCAGGATAGCACAGCAAATTGAATTTCCTTTAGAATAGAATGTGAGCTGCGTGAATAGGAGCCCTTTTCAATGGTCTTACTGTATGTGTCGTCTGACTGTACATGATTACACAGATTCATAATGTGATTGACATGAAGCTCTTTTATCCCCTGAAGAGATGAAGCCCTCTGGGAGTAACATCAGTCAGTAGACATACCTACGTCAAAAACATGATGGGAGTGGGGGACGGGGCTGAAGTCACTTATTATAAAAACATTGGGAGTAAATTAATGAATTTGTATTTCCTAATATTGGATCCAGATACTAAAGCCTTCATTTTCTTGTGGGTTTATCACTGATGAGATTATGTGGCTTAGAAAAGGAATCACTTTTTGTCTGTGTGGTTTGCAATTTAAAGTAGTGAGATACACATAAGACTGTGAATGAAGAATTTAATTAAAATTCTGACTATGCATTGTTTATTTACAGAAGTAGTCATATTTTATGTTGTGAATTTTAAAGCATTATGTAAGGCAAATCTATTTCAAGATTATTTGAAAGAAAGTGGACTAACTGAAAGATCAGTGTTAGCTTAATTTGTTAATTTCTCCAAGAACTAGTGGAGGTTTTTGTTAGCAGTGAGGGTGTAGTTGTATGGCATTTAGATGAGGTGTGTTTATATCTTTTCTGTGTGTCTCATAGGAGAGGAAAAATCAACTTTTTCCTTGTCTTGAAAAGCCGGGTAAAAGGAGATTTATTGAGCTTGAGTTCTTTATTTCTGTGTTATAAACACTACCCATTTCTTCCTTTCTCCCCCCACTTCTGCGTTTTAAAACTTTTGAGACTTAAAATTCTTCCCCCTTAAATCGGGAATTTTTAAATCTCCCCACTTTTGATGCTGTCTTATAACTCTGTCTAATTTCATTTTCCCCTTCTTCTGTTACAGGGAGATAGAGAGCTGAAGGATAGCCACTTTCCCCAAAATTGGTAAGTCCTTTCACTAGGCAAGCATAGGGTGCTTAATGCTGGGTTATAATTCAAGCATGCAGCGCTTGTTTTTATTCTTCTGCAAAAAAAAAAAAAAAAGCTTTCTCTCAGAAATGAGGCCTCGATGTTGACACTGAGCAAAGGTTTTTGTCTAGTTCCACGTAGCTGTATCTCAAATGCGTTGGTGTTTCTACTGCCACTGCTTGGCTTGCACGTTCTTCGTTTGATAACCTGTTAAAATGTGAAAGGAGCCTTTGCCAAAAATGTTCTTTAGTGCAATGGGGTTAGGGCTGAGAACTCAAAAGTCAGGAAATTGAAAAAGTAAAGATTCCCATTGTGTTTTATATTACTTAATATGCTGTTACATTTGATGGCATTAGTGTATTGAGAAATTGCTAGGATAGTAACTGGGAAGCTTGGCTTTGAAATTTGGGATTCAGAAGCATTTATATTCTTAAACCTAGTATTGGATTGGCCTCACATCTGATATTATGTCTCTGGTGTATAGTTTTTGGTTTAATTCTTACAGAGGCAAAACTAAGGAGGGGGAAATATAAAGCAGGAAGGTTTTTAGACAAATATAGTTTTCCCTAATACTTAATATCTATTCTAATAGCTTATAAATCATATTTAATCATTTCTTTGAACGTTTAATTTATGTTTACAGAATGACAGGGCAGTCTAGTGACTAAGCATCAAATAAGTATTAATACTTTATCTGGAGAGTATATATTATGAAAAAGAATAGATTCTGACAAGATAGTTGGAATAGGGCAGTCTGCTGCTGCAAGTTTACTATATATTTTTTAATCCTCTCTCTCCACTAGTAATTAACTGAATAGGCAGGACAGATGCAGTAGATATTTGGTTAAAACCTCTTTTTGACTATTTATGGGCCTTGAGGTACCTCTCATAGTTTTAGGATTTGGGCTATGAGTGTGAAAGGGAGGCACTTGAACCAGTTAATCCTGCCTTGTAGGACCTTTCTACTTGTCTTTAAAGTACCCAGGATCCTATAGCCTTTGTGCTAGTCTGTGATAGTCACAGAATCTTAGAGAGGGAACTTGAGGTTCCTTGTCTTCCAGCCTTTTACCCTTGTAGCAGTTTCTTCTCCAGTATCCCTAACAGGTTGTTCCTCAGATACATATTGAATACTGCATTTAGAATGTAGCTCATTATTTTCTGCATTGTACTCTGAGGAGCTCTAGTTACACAAAAATCCAAATCTGGGGTACTGGGGTGGGGATGGGTTTAATGCTGTGGGAAGTACTGGGTTAAAAAGTTAACAGGTTTCTTTACTGCAGGACTTCTCAGAACCTTTAATATGCTAATGTGCATCGTGAATCTCCATGCGGGGGCTATGATATGCAGCATTCTTGAATACTTCTAATGACAGGGAGCCCACTACCTCATAAGGTAACACTTTCCTTTTTTTGTATAGTTCTAATCCTTATATCTATCTTCCGTAACTTCTACTTTTATTAAGGATTTATTGGTCCTACTGGGACTGCTACATCTCTTATATTACTCTTTGTGTGGTGTATAATTTCAGGATCTGACCAGGCTTATATGGACAGCTTTTTTTTTTTTTCCTTTTTAAGTCTTTAAATAGCATTCTGGTAAATGTGGCAGCCAATTCTAAAATGTTGGCCTCATTGTCGTCATGCTCTTATACACTGCTCTCCAACTTTTTTCGTTTTGAATTTTTTTGAATTTTCAGAATGTACATCAATGTTCCTGTTATTGGGTGTGGTTGGGATCATTTTAGTAGAACTGCCAAGAAAGATGGAAAACACCAGAATGTGAACGCGCAGACAGACTGCGCTGCAGGAAGTGGAAGTTGAAACCAGATCTTGGGATGGACACTGGGCAGGAGCGGTGCAGGATCCTGCTGGAGACCTGAGAAAGCAAGCCACAGTGCTAGAGGGCCTGCCGAGCCTCGCACAGACACCACGGAAAGCGTCCGGTGCAGGCTGTGACCCGTTAGGTATCCCACCTGCTTCCTACTATTCCCCCCAAAATGCCATTTAGCTCTCAGCAACGATTATTTACTAGGACACAGTTAACTACTGAACCTAACCGCTTAGAAGCAGTTAAGATGATGTTTGTCAGTGGCTGTCCCAAGGGTTGGAGTGTAGTAACCTTGCCAAGGTTTTAAGGGCAGCTGCCAACATCAGGGCCAGTAGCATCTTCTGTTGACCTGTATGTGGCAGAGTCTTCAAGGAAATACTACCATGAAAATAGATGAATGTGTTGAGAGTTTGCAGAGAAGAAAAAAATGTAAACTTTAAAAAATTTTCCTCACTTTTATTGATTGGTGTTAGTAAATATTAATGCTTTCCATTGATGCTATTTAAAAATTTTAGTTTTAGCATCTATAATACCTTAGTGCTAGTAAAGATAATATCTCCGTGCCTCGAATGTTGATACTCAAATGTTAGATGGGTAGGGTATGAAGTAAGGATAGGTAGATTTGTCAGGACTTTGTACTTTTTTCTTGTTTTAGAAGAATGATTAAACCTATTTGAAACACTGTGTCTGAAAATATAGATAAAAAGCAGAGGAATTTTAGAATGAAAAAAATGCGCAATAGAGAGAACACAAAACTCTTGTTTCAGGGGCATCCTGGGGTACACTATGTCACGACTTACTGTTACAGTAACTGTTGGTTGGTGAGTCAAATTTTGATTGGAAAAAGGTTTATGTCAATTCAGTAACAGAAAAATATTTCTGAGCAGTAAAATCAGAGTTATAGTTTTCCTACAAGTTGTTGGAATCATAATAGAAGACCTAGAGGTCACATACCTCCAAGCAGAACTCTACTCAGAAAAATAGACCGTGCTTAGAGAATTTGAGAATAGAAATGCCTACAGTCTTCCACAAGTGTATGGTGTTGAGAAGTTTTATAAAAATGCTTGTTGAGTGTGAAGAATTCAGTCCGTTAAGGGTAGCAGGAGACTATGGCTTACAAAGGGCTTTTCCTATAAGTTGAGCTTATGTATGTTACCAGATAGGTGACACTGTTCCTATTTTTGTTAGTGTGAGAGTAGCCAGTCGCACAGTAAGTGGGATTTATTTCTTTTGTTTCTGTGTTTGGGATGGTGAGTGTGTTTTCTATATATGACACCTGCCTTCAACAGTGAGATCTGATTTTTTTGTTTCTGTTTGTTGGGGATCTTGTTTATTTTTTTGTGTATGTGGTTCTATGTTTCTGTCATTTGCGGGTGAGAGCCCATTAGGCATCCCTGTAGTTTGCCCTCCACAGTTGAGGAGACTGCACAGTTGTTGTTGAGCTGGGAAGGTAGCGCTGCTCCGTGTAGTGTATGGAGCTGGTGAGCGGTGAGAACGTTGTGTCTGTTAGTGTTTTGTGAGTGTTCATATTCACCTTGCAGCAACTGGTTTGTTGTCTGTCATGTGTTAGAATTGACAAATTCTAATATCAAAAATGATAAATGCTCATTTACAAATTTAGCAAATAATGCTTTCCTGTGATACTATGAACTGCCCACAAATGCTATTCAGATGATGGCTGCCTAAGTTGTCTAAGATCCTGAAACATTTTTTGAAAAGATTCAACATGTGTTTGTCTTGTCTTTGAAAACAGTAAATATATGTATATAATTTGTTCCTCTAGGCAGAGACCAATTTCCTAAAATTGCTGTACAGAAAGACACCTTTCTGAGGAAGGATTTCACATGAATTTTCTGAGCCTTAATAAGTTTTCCTATAATCACTACCTTTTTTTTTAACCCTTCAGTTTTATTTTGAAGTGGAGTAATTAGCATTTAGAGTCCTTGCCAAATAAAACTTCATGCTTTTGTGTGTCTCTAATAAGCAGACAACAACCTGATGGAGGAACTAAAAACTGTCAACTCCTCGTTAACTTGAATTGCAGACTTATTATCCTGCAGGCGTTCTCTGACATTTAGAGTCTCCAGGTTAAACCCTGTTTCCCTTTTTGTTGTCTGAGCCTTCTGTGTGATCTATCTAAAATCTGATGCTTTAGTAGTGCCCAGATAGGCTTTTTTTTAAAGTATGTGTTTTCCATGGGAAAATTGGAAATCACTAATACCCCCAAAAGAAGAAACTAAGTAACTCTGAGAATCTACCGCTAGGGAAAAAAAATGTCAGTATTATGACAAGCCATCTTACACACATTCTGGATAGTGTAGAGTGTTACTGTTTTTACAAGTGCTTATCAGTTAGCTAGACAAACATTAGCTTCTTAACATTTGCACTTCTGTGACCCTTGGAGATGGATGTTTCTCCTGTTTGTTGGACATGATTTGTTTCTGTGCATTTTTGTTACTAATTGGTGGGAGCCCTGCCTATATGGACTACATGTATTACTGCTTTTGTAAGTTGTCCATGTTTTGAACTTGCTGTTGGGTCCAAGGAGTTCTGAGCATTAAATTGAGCTCTACTGTCACAGCTTGTAACAACAGGCTGAAAATAAAGCCTTTCCATTATTACAATAGCTCTTCAAATTTGAGGCGATTCTTGATTTGACAGAAACTATAATGAATCACCTTTGGACATGTGTACAAATTTTCAGAAATTAAAGCAAAGAACTGTTTCCAGGAGGTACTGTAATGCACAAGTCAACATTTGTGTAAGGAGAATGTATTAGTATTTAAAGTAAAGTGGCTGTGCAGCTTTAACGTTTACTGTTGCTGGACATGTAATGTTGTTGGATGACAGCAAAAACCTTGGTCCAAGCCCGTCACGTTTCTGATATGTACTTATTTGTTAAAATTTCATGTTTGTTCATCAAATATGTCTCCCTTTCCAACTTATTTTTTCCTTTTTATTTTCAACATTTTATTTTCCAGGGACTTCTAAAAATGCACTTACACATTTTGTAGTTAATTATTGACTTTCAATCCTGTTAAATCAGTTTTCAAAGGACTTCTAGCAAACCTAGATGAAGTAAGGACTTATGACAAGTGTGAAGATGATGAATCTCATTGTACTGGTTTAAGGATCAGTAGTTCTGGGTTACTGATTGTTCTCTCCCCCAGTTCTTGTGAATGCTGAAAAGCTGTACTAGCTACAGGTTTTATAGGGGCGAAGAAGAAGATATTTGAAGAAAAGTTTAAATTTATTCAGGCAAAAACAGACTTTTGCTTTGGCAGAGTTCCTAAAATCATGTCTGAGACCACATTTAAGGAAAAAAAGAAAAAAAATTAAAGGATAAATTAGCCATTGAGTTCATTTAAATTGCAGCAGTGGTGCACAGAGGGAGCTAGGGAGGTTAGGATGGGCGTCACATTCGCAGGCAGGAATTCAGGCTTCAGGCATTGTCTCCACATGGAATTCTGTACGCAGTCCCGGAGAGACACAGACAAGGTGAAAAGGAGAGTGGTGCTCCATTACTAGACCACATCATGTGGTACACAGATATATTTTTAATATCCCTGTCATAACTTTGTGAATAGCGCAGTTAATATTTCATTGGATTTATCTGTGTTAAGTGTTAATTAGTTAAATTCTAGTGCTTAAATTATACCAGAATTTCCTTGTTTTGAATTTCTGTATTGTGAATCAAAGTGCCCTGGCCTCCTTTTAACCTGTGGGAGACCCTGAACTCTGCAGTCCACTTGAGTATTTAAAAAGCTGCGTGAGCATGTGGTTGTGCATCCTCCCAAGGATGACCTTTGCAGTCTCCCCCACCAACCTCATGGTGAGGGCAGCTCACTCTGTGGTTTATGACATGGGCTGAGCACATAGTGGGTACAGAGATGCTGCTTTAAACGGATTAACCCTTAGGTTTTGATTTCTAAGTTATTTAATGTGTTCTGCAGAGGGATGCATAAAGAATAAAACTCAGAAAAATTTGGTACCAAATTGTTTTGGAAGAAGAATCTGGGAAATTTTTTGCTTTGTGTGAAGAGAATCTCTTTTACTAATATTTTATTTAACACCCATTTTCTTTATTTCTGACACAATGATCTGAAACATTTCTGCAGCTGCAGTGAGAAGAGGCGTTTGTTACTTTAAACAAAGGCTGAAGAACCTATAAAATAAGCCGGCCTAAGAGAAAGTGGAGAAGGTAGAGGATGGAGTTGCAGACTCTACAGGAGGCTCTGAAAGTGGAAATTCAGGTTCACCAGGTATGTTGTGTGATTGCTTTCTCCCACATCTTGTTATTAAGTAATGGCTGAGCTTAGTCAACAGGTCCCATTCTGGTTTGCAGTATAGTTTTTAATCATATTTAAGACAGTTGTACAAGAGTCATGTATTTTGCCTTTTGATCCTAGTTTTAAGAACTTTGATAAATACTCCTAACTTCCATTCTCTAGAAGAAAGAACTGAAAAAAATTTCACATCCCAAAAGTGTTAAAAAGAACTTTTTCCCATTGGTTCATCTGAAGTACTTTGTTCTTGTCATGAAAGTGGTATATTTTATATAAAGGAACATGTTGAATTCAGCTACCACATACACTGAAGCTTGTACTTTCATGTGACTCAGCTTTAGGCCTCAATTCTAATCTTTAGTAAAGAAAATGAGATCAACTTCATAAATACTTAACTTTAAAATTTCACAGTTCTTAACATTTTACCTCAATTGCCTGGATGAAATAATCTTTTAAGAGCATAGCTATAAAACATAAATATAAATATATTCTATAATATATTTCTGTAGTATATTAAAACATACATTATAATAAGAATATATATAAATAAATTTACAGGTAACTGTAATCAAGATGAAATACTCTTAATGATTAATATTATGTAGGAGAATATCACTGTTTTATATCTTTTCTTGATACTTGCTGGACATTAGGTTGAAGACATAGCTACATACACATTCTCACGTAAAATTCTTAGTACTCAAAAATGATAAATGCTGTAAAACTGACTAATTTTAAGAAACAGCTGGAGATTTGGCAGTGGAGAGAAGGAAACTTGTTTTTTGAGATACAGAACAAAGAAGGAAAGTTAGGGTCAGGGCTGGGCTTGTGCTGGGAACTGGGAATGCAGTCCAGAGCGCCTGTGTGGTACAAGAACTGCCCTGCTGTTAGGAGTGTTTGGGGAGTGAAACAGCAGATGGAAGATCTTTCTCTCCTTTCTCTCTCTCTCTTCTTTCCAAATAAAATGAAAAATAAATTAAAACTGAAGGACTTTGTTATTAAGTCTTGGTTCTCTTGTTTTATCTGAATAGTCTACTGTAAAATTAATTTCCAAGTTGTTGGGCTTTTGATAACTACTGGATTTGCACATTGCCCAGATCCAGTGTGGATAAAAATTTGCAAGAAAACTTCAAAGATATGTATCTTAAAAATTATTATATATTTAAAAGACAGAGAAAGAAAGAGACAGTTATCTTTCCAGATGCCTGTAGCAGCTCTGGCTCTTCCAGCCAAAGCTGAACTCAGTCTGGGTCTTCCGTGTTGGTGGGGAGTCCCAGGTACCTGTGCTATGACCTGTTGCCCGCCAGGGTTGCACATCAGAGAAAGGCAGTAGTAGACACGGAGCTGAGACTCACACCCAAGCTTTGCTTTGCTTTGCTTTGCTTTGCTTTCCTTTTCTTTTCTTTTCTCTTCTTTTCTTTCTTTCTTTCTTTCTTGTTTTTTTTTTTTTTGCTGTCAAACAAAGGCAGTCTTGCAACTTTATTTAGTTCTCATCCATATTGACTGTAGATTTTTGGAAGTGGTGACAGGTACATGGATAACCAAAGTATAGAGCCTGTTTGGCGATTCTTCATCCTCATTACATTTTCTGGACAACCTCACGCGGATACAGTATGGGATGTTCCTTATCTTGTTACCTTGTGCTCAGAGCAGAGTTTACCTTGCACTTACAGGCTTTTTAGTGTCTAATCACTTATACACAGTAAGTTTTATTTGTCCTTTCTCTGGTACTAACTGAAGAGAGTAAAATTTTGTTAGCACAAAGAATTCATGGGGCCTTAAGGCGTCATGGTAAAGCTATTGTCTGTGATGTTCACATCACATGTAGGTACTGGTTTGTGTCCTGGATGCTCCACTTTTGTTCCTGCTCCCTGCTGATGGGCTGGGGAAAGTGACATATAATGGTTCAATTGTTTGGACCCCTTCTACCCACATGGGAGACCAAGCAGAAGTTCCTGGTTTTGGCCTAACTCAATCTTAGCCTTTGTGGCATCTGGGGAGTGAATTAGCCCATGGAAGTCTTTCACCCTCTCTCTCTTTTTTTTCTGCCTCCCCTTCTGTTTTCTAACTTTGAATTTTATACCAATGCATCTTTAAAAATAGAATTCTGTCAGGCTAGTGTCTACTGCTTTAGATACTGCATCCTATATCTGGAGTACCTGGCTTTATTTCCTGGTTCCATTTCTGGCTCCAGCTGCCTGCTAATGTGTACCCTGGGAGGGAATGGGTGATGAATCAAGTAGCCAGGTCCCCATTTATCCATGTGGAAGACCTAGATTGAGCTCTTGGCTCCCAGCCTCAGCCTGGCCCAGGCCTAGCCTTGGCAGGCATTTGGGGAGTTGATCAATGGATGAGAACTGTGGATTATGTTTTCTGTAATCTGCCTGTTACTCAATTAAGCAAAATGAATAAAAGTGAAAATATATATATATATCTAAATAAGCAAGGTGAGAACTTCAAAGATGATTTTTGAAAAAAAAAGTCTGATTCTTGTATGATATGTTATGGTACTTTTGGAGTTTTTTCCTCTTTTTAAGAAATATTGGGATGGGAATGTTAACTATTGGAAGAATGTCTTCTTAGGATCTTGAGGTGGTAGGCAGATTGCACTGGTGGCTTACAGGACCCGTTTAAATACTGCGCATCACGTTGGGATGCCTGGGTTCTGTCTCAGCTCTGCTTCTGATTCCAGCTTCCTGCTCCTGCATACCCTCAAAGGCAGCAGTACCAGCTCAAGTGCGTGCTCCCAGCCACCAATGTGGAAGGACCTTGGCTCCGGGCTTTGACCTGGCCTAGCCCTTGCTGTTCCCATCCTTTGGGGAATGAACCAGTAGATGCAAGAGCCCCCCTTTGTCTTTCTGTATTTCTCTTTCAAAATAAAAGATAGAAAATTAACACTCTACTTATATTTCCTCCTCACAAGATAGAAACAAATCCCTGAAAGGCCTTTCTTGAAAGACTCATGACCTAAATTGAACTTAATTAAAATTAGAGTTGTTGAGTATTATTTTTGTTTTGAATTCAAGTATGCCAGTTTTATAAATATTACAGTTATGAAAAAAAATTTTATTTTTGAATTGAATTAAAAATTTAAATTACATTTGTTGACTCAGAAGGAATGGAATATTCTTCCAAATATTATTTTTAACATTATCTTAATATTCATATTAATTTCCAATCTGTTTCCCTGTATATTACCTATTTTTAGTCATAAAATTAATTTCATATTCATCCCTAATTACTACACATTTTGACTGTATAAACTCCTGTTTGCCAGTTAACATTTTAACATATAAAGTTATCTCCATTTGCATCTAAAATACTTTCCTGTTTTTTAGAAGAAAACACTAAGTGTAAATCCAAATGACTTGCACTGTTCATATAATTGCTGTTGGATATAGGGTAACTTACACAATCATTCATCATGACAAGTTCGAGGATGCCAGAAGTGACATACACATAGGGGCTTTGGTTATTAGGCTGAGGCCAAAGCTGTAACATCCATTTAACATCATGTTAGGGCAAAAGAAAACGCTTGGTACATTTCTATTTAGGGAATGAAATTAGGGCTGAAATTAAGCTTGCTGGATCAAAACTGTGTTATGAAATTATCTGATACTACTATGGAGGTGGTTGTCTTTTTATGTTTTCTTTATGAATGGGAAAGTGATTAATAAAGTAACAGTGTATACATAGATGATATTCAGTAATAATAATAATAATAATAGCCTGTGATGAATATCACATCTTTTTTTGGAAAAATCAACTTTTTTTTCATCCCTTTCTTTAATTTGTTGTTATGCAAAAAATGATAGAGACCTTTGGAATATTCATTCCATTTGAATACAGGAAAGTGTAAAGGGAAGGTTAGTAAGCTTCTTCTGTAAAGGGTTAAATACTAAAATATTTTAGATTTTTCAGGTCTGATATTGTCTCTCACAACCACTCTGTTTTTGCTAATGTAGAGAACGAGTGCTGTATAAATGAAAGGCTGTGACTGTGTTATACACACCCTGATTTCTAGACAAGTGACAGACCAGTGGACCAGATTTGGCTTCATGGGCCGTTGTTGGCTTCCCCTTAACATAAAGTATCCTCAGGAAAAGTCACTGTGTCCTTGGAGTAGAAAGTAACTTAACTTTGGGGTTGACACAGTGGGTGTTGCAAGCTGAGCCTGTGCCTGCAGTGCTGGCCTCCTGTATGGGCACAGGTTTATGCCCTGACTGTTCCACTTCTGATCCAGCTCTCTGCCAATGGCCTGGGAAAGTAGTTCAAGTTCACCCAAATCCTTGGGCCCCTGTACCCAGGTAGGAGATCCAAAGGGATTGATTTTAGCATTAGACCATCCCAGCTCCAGCCATTGCAGCCATGTAAGGAGTGAACCAGTGGGTGGAAGATCTCTGTTTTTCCTTTTCTCTCTGTATCTCTACCTTTCCAATAAAAATTGCTAAGTCTGTAAAATCCTTTTGACCAGTTAGAATAAATGTTAAAACTTGTTCATTATTCTAGATAGTATTTTTTACAACCTGTGCACTTATCTTACTTAGTCTTATAATTAGTCTTGTGACCATATTCTACATCAGAAGCAGGAAATTTGAAGTGTGTTTTAGGGGCTGGTAGAGTCAGGCAACATGTTAGCAACACGATTTGCTGGCTGACTGCTCACATCGAGTAGTAGTCTGGAAGCTGGGATGCACATATAAGAACTCTTCAGCACATAGCCTTTTATTCTAAGAACCTTATCTTGTTTGTAGTATGGTATATTGATTGATGAAATCATGCTTGCAAGTAGCAATAATTTTTTTCTGTTTAATTAGGTGGATATATATTTTGGAAACTTTTGTTTTATGACTGAACAGTTTTAAAGAGCCTATTCCCTAAAGTGAGTGACATACTTTTCCAATTTATGAGAAATTCTCTTGGGGAACAGCTTATTCCTAGATAGCTTTAGGAACCAGTCTCTGATACTCTTTTACCTTTTAGGTTTTTCTGTTTGTGGTTATAATTTCCTTTGAGCAGTGATGTTTTTTAGACTGTCAGATCAAATACTATTCATTTTTCTTAAGAAAAAAAAAATGTCAGGCCTTTATTTTCAATGGTAAAGCTCTTCCCCATCCAGTACCTGGGTTGCCCTGCCTTTCCCAGAGCAAGCAGGTGGATGGAGTCTTGTTTTGTTGTTCCTCCACCTGAGCTCAAGGACTGAACATTCTGCTTCCCGCCAGTTTCCTCCTTGAGAGAAGACTGGGTGACGTCCCATTTGTGTCTTCCCATTGTAAGCACCAGACAGACCGCTGTCAGACCTGTGCTTTGCTGCACTTAAAGGGGTTTGTTTTTTGTGGGAGCAGCTTTTTTTTTCCCATGCCTTATTTGGGATCCTAGAAGGTGACAACATTTGAAAAGGATGCTTGGCTTTGGGAGCATCTAGCTTGTTGAAATTGCCTCCCAAAAGCTACTTTCCTCCATCCTGGCTCCAGTTTTAAAAATCAGGTACTATGGGCCCGGCGCAATAGCATAGTGGGTAAGGTCCTTGCTTTGTGTGCCCGGGATCCTATATGGGCGCGGGTTCTAATACCAGCAGCCCCACTTTCCATCCAGCTCCCTGCTTGTGGCTTAGGAAAGCAGTCGAGGACAGCCCGAAGCTTTGGGACCTTGCACCCGCGTGGGAGACCTGGAAGAAGGTCTTGGCTCCTGGCTTCGGATTGGCTCAGCTCCAGCTGTTGCGGCTGCTAGGGTGCTAGGGGAGTGACCCACCAGACAGAGGATCTTCCTCTCTGTCTCTCCTCCTTTCTGTATATCTGACTTTCCAATAAAAATAAATAGATATTTTTAAAAAATTTTAAAAGGACTTCATATAGGAATGTTTAAAAAAGAAATCAGGTACTTTGGGCCCCAGCGCGGTAGCCTGAAAGCCCTTGGCTTACATGCACTGGGATTCATTATGAGTGCCAACTGGTTCGTGTCGCGGTGGCTCTGCTTCCCATCCAGCTCCCTGCCTGTAGCCTGGGAAAGCAGTCGAGGACGGCCCAAAGCCTTGGGACCCTGCACTCACATGAGAGACCTGGAAGATGCTCCTGGCTCCTGACTTCGAATCAGCTCAGCTCAGACCATCCCGGCTGCTTGGGGAGTGAATCATCTGACGGGAAGATCCCCCTGTCTGCCTCTTCTTCTCACTGTATCTGACTTTCCAATAAAAATAAATAAATAAATATATATATATATATTTTACAAAATCAGGTACTTTTTCACTTGAGATATCAAGTGATGGTGGCATTGTCGTTTGAGGAGGAAGAGTGCTTTACCCATCGTTTGCATAGATCGCACAAGTCTTGGGTCTGTTCTGATTGTGGTCTTGCCTGTTTTCTCTACTCTGGCTTAGCACTTTGGAACTAAGCCTGAATAGCTGCAGAAATTGAATATGTGAAACTGATGGGTCTTTTTCTTTCTCCATTAACAGAAACTGGTTGCTCAGATGAAGCAGGATCCACAGGTAAAAAAAACACTGTTTTCTTCATTTCAGTTTTAAAGTAAAAAGTAGTTTAACATAAAGTGAGTGGAGTACAGAGGGTGCTTAGAATGAAAGATCTGCCTCCTCCCTCCGAACGAGTGCCGTCAGCATGCTGGTCTTGCTGTTTTTATACTTTAGGGAAATCCAGTCATTCTTGCACGGTATAACTGTCATTTCATCTTTGTTGCTAATATTTTGCTTTTGAGTTAATTCTTTTGAGAATTTAGGAGGGGGGTGTGAAATGGAGAGTTAATACTCTTCTGATACTTTAAATTCCGTTTCCACAAACGCACTTATTCAAAAACATAATTTGTGAGACTTTCTGTGGTCTCAGAATTATTGTAAGTAGCCACAAACTATTGTTATTTACTTGTAATTTGTAAGAATATATGAATACAGGATTTCACCATGTTTGGGATGAGAATTTTAGAAACATTTTTAAAAAACATTGCAAGATTATTTTATTTTTGAACAAACTCCTTAAGAACAGTTTAAGAGTAACATATAATGTAGTCTAAAAAAATGTTTACTTTTGTTTAAATTCTCAGGACTTTTAGCTTTTATTTCCTAAAAAGCTGCCTGCTCTGCTCATGGTCCTGTGCGTTAAGCAGGCAGCCTTTGTGCCTTAAGGCTGAGTGTGGGGAGTTCCCGCTGTGTCTCTCTATGTGGGTTGTTGAACTTCCGCAGGTCGTGCAGGCCTCCATATACAGTGCAGTCCGGATCAGACTTTACTCAGGAAGTGGACGATTGAGCTTCACAAACTGTATCCAAGCTTTGTGTTTTAACATCATCTGTTCTGAGGGTTGGTGTTGGTAGCCCATGCTTAACTGAAGTGTAACAGTTAAACTTCCATTAGCAATTTTCTGATTCTAATTTTTTTCTTGGAATATTTGTAGTTTTAAGCTGAGTTTAGGGAACTGAGATCTAGCAGGTTAGGTTAATGGATCCTTTTAGTGGTTATGATGTTATAAACCAGTGATTGTGATAAAGTTGGTCATCATAGAGGAAACAGTCTTAACCTGGAGAATCTGAGAGGGGGATAGTAAGTTATTGGACAACACTGCAGGCGGTCTGATTAGAGAAGCCATATATCAATTGCATTCATTTAAAAAGACCAAATAGATTCACATGAAACGCAATAGAGGGTGAAAGTGTGTCCCATGTTGCACCCCAGCCCCCACCCCTGCAGGGTAAATTGAAAGAACTGTATGTGAAAAGGCCAGGCAGAAGTTAGTGTCTCGTGGAGTGGTGTTCTGTCTGCTAGCTGGCTGTCCTGCTGCCTTGAGCATTTGAAAATGCCTTAATTTTGAGGTCTTTTTTTCTTCCACTCATGTAAAAAGCAAGCATGCTCAGTGTATCTCATCTAAAATAGTGTTCTTTTTTTGATTCCTAGAATTTTAGAACGAAGCAAATGCCCTGGTAGTCAGTGTGTTAATTTGAATGATGTAATGTTGAGGCAACTGCAGTACTGACAGCTTCTCCAATGTAAGCTAAAATAACAAATGTACTTTACCTTACTAAATAAGGGAGATGACAAGCAGAGAAAAACCTTCTTGTTTATAATGCCTCCAAGCAAAACCTCTGTTTTCCTGCTTTTGTCTGATTAGTAGAGTTGCATTTTCTATGAACTGATACTTTCTATTAAAAAAAATGACAACATTTTTGTAGAAAGGTGCTTTTGCGGTGCAGAATGGCAAAATAGAAAAACTTTTTCTAACTTAAAACAGTTGCAAACAAGCTGCCCTGTCCCTGGTACTCTAAAGTTGGGATCTATGTATTAGGAGATGATGTTATGATGATGGTTTAATGTAAAGCTTGACAAATGTGATTGGCTAACTGCTGAAGGTTATTTCATCATTCGTAATACAGTATGCGTCTTCTTCTTGCTACTATTCTGTTAACAAATGAAATATCTCTCTCACAGATATTTTTTCTTTCCAATCAGAATGCTGACTTAAAGAAACAGCTTCATGAACTCCAAGCCAAAATCACAGCTTTGAGTGAGAAGCAGGTAGGGGAAGGGTGGGGGACATATTTTTAACATTGTGTTCTAAAGATATGTCTGCTTGAGGCTTCTAAGAGAACTGCTATTTTTCCTCATGTGTGAAAATAAGTGTGGGCAGCCAGACTCAGTTTTAATTTTGTTTGAGCTCTGTTTATCTATTTTTATTTTTGGTTGAAATCCGTCTCTAGAGTATCCCATGGGTATATGTTCCTGGCAAATATCTAAAAGCAATGTGGCAGGCTGCCGTTAACTGTGTTAATTAAACTCCATAGTTTACCCATAGGAGAAAGAGGTACAGAAAGTTAGCGGGGGTGTGCAATGGAGAATCTTGTAGTTGCTGAATGTGCCTTGTTACCTGTCTAAAAGCTAGAGCTGGCATTGAACTTGTGGAGATTACAGCTGTAAACAAATTGCTGTAAATGTGCATCTCCTAATTCAAAAACGGACACCCCCTCCTGTTAAGCTTTATTACATACTTACCTACCACTAATGGAAAATTTGGTGGAACTTTGTTCGGAGTATGGCAAGAGAGGGACGTCTTATTTTTTGCCAAGAACACCTGGAAAGAATGCTTTGGAATTTTCTGTCTAGTGTCCTCCCCTTTGCCAGTTTGGGCAGCTCCTGCCACCAGGTGGAGTAGGACAATCGACAGAGCTATAGGTAACTGCCTTTGGTAACCTGACCAAGCGCTTTTCTTCTTGCTTTCCCATTACCTCCCTCCGCGTGTGCAGTGAGATTCTGTTTTGGAATAGGTCAGTGTGTGGTGCAAAAGGACAAGTGGTTTTCATTTGAGAGTTCATGTTAATGGCATCCTATTGAAAAACCTGTGCTAAATAGTTCTCAATAGCAGATTTTTGTGTTGTGTTTCAAACTTTTATTTCATGAAATAATAGTGAGAGCAATTCCTGCAGATTTCTGTTGGTGTTTGTGTTGTGTTTTCCTTTAACTGAGGGAGAAGTAAGCTTCAAGTCCCGGGTGCAGCAGGTCTGAGTCGTTTCTGTTTCAGAAGAGAATCATCTTCAAGCTGAGTGCACAACTGCTTTGTACCCCTCACTCCTCCTCTTGTGCTTGCTTCCCCATCTTGTCTTGTCTAAAAACAGGAAGTATTTTAGATGAGGGAATTGCCAGACTAAAATTGGGAGGAGGTGGGATGGTGGAGAACAATTTGTAAGGAAAACTATAAACAGAGTTTGTTAGTATGCGTTTGGCTCTGAGTGTGAGTCAGTTCTCTAAAGTCAAAGGAATGTTTGTTAGTGCAAGCGTTCTAGCTTTAGGGGTTGGTTCCCGTTCAGACTGCCTGTGGCATTGGGGTGAGCGTGACAAGATGCCAAGGAGTGACTCACTTTTGCTGAAAACTTCACAGGTTTCATCAGAGAAAGAAGGTGAGAACCGATTAGGTAGGAAGAGGGGCAGAATGCTCTCCCAAAGTGAAGGCAACCTCAGGCTACCTTTGGGGAAAATGGGACAACTGAAAATGATACCAAAGTAAAGATTTAGTTTATCCTGTAACTTTTTATTCACATATGTATATTTGAATAGTATGTTTTTGGTGCTAGGAACCTCACTTAACTCCTCATGGTCACCTGAACTAAGTTTGGATTTTAAAAACTGTAGCTTGAAACAGTATCTAGCATCCAGAAAACCTCACACACAAAGCAGAGAACAGCGGTCAGAAACTGAAAAGCAGCCTTGCAGCTTCCATGGCGTTTGCTTACCTGTAAAAACAACCGGCTCCGTGGGGCAGGAGGATGCTCATTTCAGGAAGGACAGTACTTGAAAGTAGAAAGTTCAAAAGCTGACCATTCTGCAGACTCAGGTCTCCCAGGAAGCACTGCTGCTGTACTGTAGTTTAAAGTAGTTTTATTTTAGTATAACCTACTAATGCTCCATGCTGAACTTTCTGATTTTTTTTTTTTTGTCTCAAAAAACATCCACTTAGTCTCTGGTGAATTTTACCAGTTTTCCTTCCAACTTAATAACTAAATCTAAGTAACCTGATTTATATGACTGATAATTTAATATGAATTTTTGGTTGTGAAACAGTTCTAAAATACAGAAATGTGTGAAGGATAATGCCTTATTTCAGAGTCACTGACTGTTAACCTTGTCATTCACTTTTTTTTTAGACTTAATTTACTTTTATTGGAAAGGCAGATTTACAGAGAGGAGGAGATAAAGAGGAAGAGCTTTGTCCACTGGTTCACTCCCCAAGTGGCTTCAGTGCCTGGAGCTGTGCTGATTGAAGCCAGGAACCAGGAGCCTCCTCTGGGTCTCCCACACAGGTGCAGGGTCCAAGGTTTTGGGCCATCCTCAACTGCTAAACAGTATGAGCATGTTTAGCTCTGGCCATTGCAGCCACTTGAGGATGGAACCAGCAGATGGAAGATCTTTCTCTTGTCCCTCTTTCTGTAAATCTGCCTTTCCAATAAAATAAATCTTAAAAAAAAAAAGTGAAAATCACAATTAGACAGGACTCATTATTTTTAAAAAGTGTGTAGTGATACACTCCAATTGGGAAAATGTGGTTTTTAGCAAGTACCCTTCAAGACTAAAACTCGGTGAATTTCACTGAATTCTTTGTTAGAAGGGTTTAGTGCTTTTTAAATTGTAACTCATGAGATAGGCTCTTGGTCTTATGTTGGAGACGCCTGCACCTGCTGTTGAAAGAGCTGAGTTAGGGTTAGGGTTCCTGCTGCTGTGGAATGGGCAGGTGAAAGTTTCTGCCTCTCATGGGTGAAGCCTGGATTCAGGTTCCCAGCTTCCCCAGTTTGGGCCCCTTGCCTCAAATGAGGCTCATTTTGGAAAGTAAGCCAGTGGTGGTGGTTGAGGGTGAGGGGTTGTTCTCTCTTTGTCTCTTTAAAAAAAAACAAAAACAGAAAGTACAATTAAAAGATTAGGTTGCTTTAAAAATCTGTCAAGATTTCTGAATAAAACACTGACTGCAGATTGTGAAGTCAGCTTCATGAGCTACAGGGCTTCAGTTGTGGTTGACAATTTTAATTCAGAAAATCTCCAGGCTTGATAGCTAAGTAAATTATATATTTTGTAATCATTAACATTATAGTTTTAAAAAATATTTATTTTTATTGCAAAGACATTTACAGAGTGAAGGAGAGACAGAAAGAAAGATCTTCCATCAGCTGGCTCATTTCCTAAGTAGCTGCAAAGGCTGGAGCTCAGCCAAACTGAAGGAGGAGCCAGGAGCTTCTTCTGAGTCTCCCATGCAGATGCAGGGTCCCAAGGCTTTGGGCCGTGCTCAGCTCCTTTCCCAGGCCACAGGCAGGGAGCTGGATGGTAAGTGGAGCAGCCGGGACATGAATTGGCACCCATATGGGATGCTGGGCATGCAAAGCGAGGACTTTAGCCACTAGGCTACCTCGCTAAGCCCTTACATCATAGTTTTAATAATGTTATATCAACATGGGAATTTGCTCATGCCAAAGTAAAAGGCACATACAGTTTCATTTACATTACAATCCCATTTTTTGTGTTGATTAATGGGTATGCAAATTTGCATAGAGATAGTATAAACTACTGAAAAGGTAGTGAGTTTACAAATAGTTTATTCTTTACTTATATATACCTTTTGAATTTATTACATGAAAAATACATTTTCATTTTAAAATCAAGAATAAGCAAGTAAATGTTGTTTAAAATATTTTTAGCATCAGGCTTTTATCTGTTGTGGGATAGTTAGCATTGAAAAGCCTGGTGATATTCTGTTCATGATACATGAACCAATTCTAGGCAGAGACTTGGAACAGTAGAAGTGTGGACGGGTGGAAGCAAGTATTCCTTTAGCAGGGTTCATTCTCATTCTGCACCCCAGCCCCATCATATTTCTGACAGGCGTTTATGGTCTTTTTCTTGTCAGGAGAGTCCCATATTGAAGCTGAAGCACCTAGTTGCTATGGGCTTCTGTTTTCACACTAGTTGCTTGTAGAGACCAAATCGCATCCCATAGTTGCTTGCTTGTCCCCAGGGTGATTGAGGCTCACCCTTGTGACAGTGTGTCTTGGACTTGCACTGTCTGAACAGTTGGCTTTCCTTGCCTGGTGCCTCCCTCTCAGCTCTCACAGCGCAACCCAGCTGTTACTTCCTCAAGGAAGCTGTCCCCGAAGCCCTTCCTCTGGTTCAAACGGACAGTTTTCTTTGTAATTGCTCAATGAACCCTTCGTTTTCCTTGCGTAGTTACAATGTTTTGCCACATTCAGCTGCCAGTGACTGAAAACTTGAAATAAAAAAGATATTTACCTAAGGTAAAATTTTATTTCTTTCTCAGGTGAAAGCTCTGTAGGTGGATTGGGACTGGTGAGACGTTCCATATTATGGGGCCACTTAGGCCCCCCAGTGTGAGCATGAAATTTCCATTGCATAGTCCCAAATAGCGGCTCCATCTGCTAGGACAGCAAGAGCGAGCCTTTTACTTATAAGAGTGTTCACTTAGAAGTGCAGGTGCTGCTTGCACTGGGATCCCGTTGGCCTGAGCTTAGTTACGTGGTCTGAACCAGGGACCTGAAGGCTGGGGGTTAGTAGTTTAATGCTGGTGGCCACAGCCAGGCAGAATTCATGGACTGAGAAGTAGGAAATAAATGCTAGGAATAATTAGCAGGTTCCACCACAGAGTAATGTTTCATAGATTGTAGTTATGTATTTATCTGTATGATTACCATTTAGAGAACATTAGTCAAGGCAGGGAACATGTTAGTTTTGTTTATTTCTATACTCTTACTGTAATAGGAGAGTATTCCCAAAAGTTCATGGAAACTAATTACAAAATAGATGCTTATTTTGGCAAAATCTGTCTCTTTTTTTTTCTTTACATTCATTTCCATGAATTTTTTTGAAGATCCTTGTATTTAATATGAGAATTTACTATGTGTTAATATTGTAGTACAGGAGAAGTAGTTTGATTTCTTAATATTTTTACTTTTTCTATTTCCTTGAAAGGCAGAGTGGCAGTGAGAGGAGGAATCTGCAATCTGCTGATTTACTCCCCCAATGAT